TGTAATGGGCGCATAACGATTTGTGTGTGGCCCCTGATGTTGCTTTCTGCATGCTGATTCGGTTGGATTTTAACTGTGGTTCTTCTGCATTCTACTCCTGCAGGGTGACTGGGTATGAGCGACAGTACCCTAGGTCCTGCGGCCTGCGCGCCGGTTCTGCTTGGCGGCGGCGCGCCGCTGCGTCACTGGCTGGCGCAGGGGCGCGCGCGCGTGAGGCAGAACTGGCAGAACTGCGTACGTATCACTCAGAGTGATCCCGTTACCGTTGTGCCCTGTCGAAGGGCCTTGATGTCTTCCTCCTGCTTGGAGGCGGAGGTTGTCCGCCTCGTCGCGTTGCTGACTAGGGCCGAGCGGAATCGCTTGGCCCATGCGCTGAATGGCAACACTGCGTGCCTCGGCGCTGGCGGTTTGCACCCTTGACTTTGGGCATTTGTTAACGTCTTCGTATATCTATCGGTGCAAGCGGAGCAGACCGATACGCCGTGTTGCCCTTCCGGCCTGACGCATTCCGCGTGAGCATCGTGAGCATTTAACGGAATCTGTTGAGGACTTCCACTTCCCAATCGCGCCGCGGACGCCGTGTACAAGAGCATTTTCATTATTTTCATTGTTTTTCGTGATCTCTGATTATTTTTCATCATTTAATTAATGTTTTTTGCATCATACTCGAACTTCTCATTGTTTCTGATGATTCTGACTTTGTTTCATCGATCTGCACGATGTCTCATTAATCTTCGTCATTCCTCATCATTTTCATGATGGGCCATAACGTTTCATCATTTTTCGTCATTCCCATCACCTTTTATAATTTTTCGTCATTCGCCATGGTGTTTCACCAGTTTTCACGACTTTTCATCACCTGTCATCTGTTTCATCATTGCTCATCTTTTTCACCACTTTTCATTACTTTTATTTTTCATCATTTTCATTCATCATCTCCAATCATTTTTTGCCGGTTTTCATGTTTCCTCAGTGTTCCAGAATTTTCATCATTTCGCACCATTTTTCGTCATCTGTCATCATATCTCACTTTTTCAGCCTTTTTTCCATCATGTTTTCACCATGTTTCACCATTTTCATGATTTTTCATCATGTCATCATCAACTTTCATACAATTCATCGTTTTCCGTAAGCTTTCATCATCTTTCATCCTTTTCATCATCTTTCATCATGACTTCACCATTTTGCATGATTTGTCATCAGTTTTCATCAGTTTCGTCATGTTTTCATAATTTTTTATTTTAATGTTTTTTTGGATTTTTTCAGTATTTTGAAGAGTTTCACAAGCACTCACCAACTTTTGTGTTTGTTCCCCTTTTTTCGATTATCAGGTTTTGTTTTTGATGCCGTTTTTTTTGGATCCTCCAAATTCCCGAAGGTTCTCATGAGTCTTAAGTCATTTGTTTTTTTTTGGTCCCCGGACTTGTCTCTATTCTACAAGTCTTACAATAAAATCCACGAGTTTGTTTTTTGATCCTTATTTGTTTTCTCTTGATCCTCAGATTTTGTTTTTGATCTTTGTTTTTCGTTGATCCTCCACCCCTGCCAGGAGACCAGGACACCACCAAAACACCGCGACAAACAACCCCCAGACACCATTATAAATCCGCGGCCACCGCGACACAACCACTGGGACACCAGCAGTGGAACACCGCCACTGGCTGAGAGACTGGGGCACGAAGATAATGATGCCACACTGGACCCTCACTGGTAAACCAAGGCACCGTCGAGACACCGCGACACCACCAGAACATCGCCACCAGCGCACCGCCGCCAGTGGAAGGACACTGCTGTCGGGACTGTCGGGAGAAAGACCTCACAAGCGAGTAACAAAAGGAGGAGCATACCCACTTCCTTTAAGCAGAAAAGAAGCTCCGTTCATGCTGCTGAGCTTGAGTATGCTGCTACACTTGCCCTTGGCAGTCCATGGCCAAGGTGCAGATGGTGCAGGACACGGGTGATTTCGCCCACAAGACAGCGAGAGCGATCTTCGGGGACGGCCACTGCATCACCCTGTGGCAGGCTGGGCATTCGTTTCGATAGCAGCAAGTTGGGGAACACATTGTGTCCAGATTTCGGATAAGCCAAGGCTAGCATAGTCCGAGAAGGCCACCAGAGCTGAAAACCAGACCATGCACGTGTATCTCACGCAGCAGGAGTGGACCCCGGCGCAGGCACGCAAAGCATTGCAACACGAGGAGTTTTGATGCAGTTTATTGCAGGCAGTTTGGGAGCACACCGAGTTGACACGTCGGAGGCTCGCGTGTTGTGCTTCTGCAGGACCAGCTGGACCTTTTCGTGTCCACGCACGTCCTGCGTGACATGATGCGAGCTGCGTAGGCGACTCAGGTCTGCCCAAGGCAGCCTGAGGCTCGTGAGCGAGCATGCAATATGCAATTTGTCACATAAAGCTGTCATGTTGACCAAGGACAGCCAGGTCACCTTGATGATTGTGCAAGCTGCTGGGCGTGATTGACACTTCAGGATCTACATGCTGTCCTTCTTTCACGTTCCAAGCGACAAATGCTTTCGTCGGACCCGAGGCCACATGCATCGTCGGTGCACCTGCGGACTCAGCTACCTGAACACACGCGAGGTGTTGAGTCTTTGACGGCGAGAGGCATAATTAATTAAGATGCATTTCGTTCCAAAGGGGTGTCATAGACTCACCCCAGATCTTTAACCAACACCAAAAATTGACCCGCTATAAACCCAACCAGACGACCTGTTCCACTTCCTGCTTGGGCCAATCCAACAACAACAACAACAACAACGACAACAACAACAACAACAACAACAACAACAACAACAACAACAACAACAACAACAACAACAACAACAACAACAACAACAACAACAACAACAACAACGCGCGGACGCTTTGTAAACGCGCGCGGAGAAGCGTGTTCACGGCACGTGCACTTTTAGGGGGGGTTTCATAAATGCATTTCGCGTGGCCTGCGTGGGATGGAATACACCTGTCCTAGAACTGAAAGTGCGTGACAACGTTTTTTTTTTGGATTATTTTGGGGACGGAACCATGTCAAGTTCCGTCCAAAATGACCGTTTCGCTCGAGACGTCCTGCCGACGCTTTTTTTGCGTTTTTGTTTTTTTTTGGTTTTGTGCGCAGCGGTTGTTGCTTTGCTTTGAACACGTACGTACACGTACGTTCTCCAAGACAGGTAAACTTCTTCGTTTTGACGAGCGAAAACCACAGGAAAAGCGGGCGTGGTGGAAAGGGCGCTTGCCGACATACCTTTAAAAAACCATGAACCCGCAACCGTACAGACACCGTCAACCCCGATCCCGAACCCTGTAAGCCTCGCCACGACAAGAGAGTTTTCGTTGGGAGCAGGTTTCGGGTTTAGGGTAGAGGGTTTATGTATCTGCGGTGCCCGCGGAAGGTTTAGGGTTTAGGTTTGAGGGTTTGGATACTTTGACCTGCAGTGCTCGGAGGAGGTTAAGGGTTTAGGGTAGAGTTTTTGTGGTACCTGCCGTCCTCGAAGAAGGTCAAGGGTTTAGCCTAATTTAGGGTTGAGGGCTTGGGGACTTTGGCCTGCACTGCTCGGAGGAGGTTCAGGGTTTAGGCTTGAGGGCTTCAGGGTTAAGCCTGGTGTCAAGTGCGTTTCAGTCCCACAGCCATGCTCGATCCAGTCTGGCGTCGCAAAATGCATGAGGCGCATGCCCAATCGCTAGCCTTCGGCTGTCGCGGCCAATCGCACGCACTGGTAACACGGACGTAAGCATCGTTCGGGCATGGATGCTCTGGCCAATCGCACGCACTGGTAACACGGACGTAAGCATCGTTCGGGCATGGATGCTCTGGCCAATCGCACGCACTGGTAACACGGACGTAATCATCGTGCGGGCATGGATGCTCTGGCCAATCGCACGCACTGGTAACACGGACGTAATCATCGTGCGGGCATGGATGCTAGCTCTGGCCAATCGCACGCACTGGTAACACGGACGTAATCATCGTGCGGGCATGGATGCTCTGGCGAATCGCACGCACTGGTAACACGGACGTAATCATCGTGCGGGCATGGATGCTCTGGCCAATCGCACGCACTGGTAACACGGACGTAATCATCGCGCGGGCATGGATGCTCTGGCCAATCGCACGCACTGGTAACACGGACGTAATCATCGTGCGGGCATGGATGCTCTGGCCAATCGCACGCACTGGTAACACAGACGTAATCATCGTGCGGGCATGGATGCTCTGGCCAATCGCACGCACTGGTAACACGGACGTAATCATCGTGCGGGCATGGATGCTCTGGCCAATCGCACGGACTGGAAACAGAAACGTAAGCATTTCCGGCATGCCAACCACGGAAAACACCGCAATGCCGGTGTTTTCCGCATGTTAGCGCCGCGAAGCACTGTAAATACCGATGTTTCAGCCACATACAGAAACGTGAAAAGTGGACAGCCGGAATCACCGGTGGCAGTGGTGTTTTCGGCATGTGAAGCACACGAAACACTGTAAATACCGATGGAATCGGCATATGCTGAACGCGCGTTTACAGAGCGTCCGAGCCAACAACAACAACAACAACAACACCAACCGCAACCGCAGCCGCAGCCGCAACCGCAACCGCAACCGCAACCACAACAACAAGAACCACAACCCACAACGACAAGGACAACGACAACGACAACCGCAACGACAGCCGCATTGAGGCGTTTGGGGGGTTTTGGTTGCCCAACCAGAAGTGACCCCTAGACCCGATGACCCGGAACCCTTGTAATTAAATGCAGCGTGTGCGCCCGAGTACCACTCCCCCCCTTCCCCCAAAAATCCCAAACAACTCCCCTAAGATGCTGAGCCCCAGAAACCCTGAAGAGCCACCTAAGAGAGACCCTCAGAGAGCCCCTAAGAACCCTCCAAGAGCCATCTATTCCCGGAAGATTCGGGGCCGAGGCCACCTGTGGGGAGCTTGTCCACGCAAAGCTGACGCCATTGCTGGAGCGATTTCAAAAGGCATACCGGATGCCGGTGAAGGCGGGAGAAGGGCTTACGGCCTAGGGCTTAGGGTTTAGGGTTTAGGGTTTAGGTCTATGTTTTGTGTGTCAGGGACGCTGTGACTCTCGGATCTTATCATAAACGAAATAATATTGGGAACATAGAATTCTTGAGCAAGCTCCACAAAAGGGTTTGGGGTGCTGAAGAACTAACCCTCAAACCCTATAAACCCTACAAACCCTGTAAACCCTAAGCCCTGCAAATCCTGAACCCTGGAATCCCAAGACCATGAAATGCCTAAACCCTAGACCCCCACTTCACCCTAGACCAGCCTTGAGAACTCTACGCTGCAATCTGCGTGAGGACCTGAAGAAGACGGTGAATCAGACGCGCCACGTGCTCGAGGACTGCTACCCCCGTTCCTTCGAAATGGGAAGGTTTACAGCAGTTTAGGGACAGCCTTAAGAACCCAGAACCTACTTCTTTGTAGGTTAATTACCTAAGAATCCTAGAAGCTTAAGAGCCCACAACCTACTTTTTTGTAGGTTAATTTTCCTAAGAATCCTACAAGGGGTTTTCCATTCTTCAGGAGAAGTTTAGTGTTTGTGGGTCTACGCCTCGCGAGTTCAGAGGGTTGGCAGCAGGGCTTCGGGTTTTCAAAGATTTGATTTCGATGCCCGGTATCTCAAACCCTAGAGCCCTAAAACCCTAAAGCTCTAAACCCTAAGCCCTAGCCCTAAACCCTAAAACCCTAAGACCTTAAACCCAAAAACCCCTAAACCCCAGACCCCGAGAACCTTCCGCGCCCGGACGTGGCAGGAAGTCCATGAGGTTTATGGTTTGGGGTTTAAGGTTCAGGGACCCTTAACCCGAAACCCCAAACTCCTAAACTCCTAAACTCCTAAACTCCTAAACTCCTAAACTCCTAAACTCCTAAACTCCTAAACTCCTAAACTCCTAAACTCCTAAACTCCTAAACTCCTAAACTCCTAAACTCCTAAACCCTAAACGCCTAAACGCCTAAACCCTAAACTCTAAGCTCCTCAAACTCCCTAAACCCTGAACCCTTATACGCGCAGGAGTTGGGAATGACTGCTTTTTGCTACGCGCTGAGAGACTGCATCGTGCCACAGCTCGAGGCGACTGTTCACCAAAGCACAGGGGCCGAAGCCATGTAAACCCCGAAACGCCCTAAACCAAGATTGCCTTCTGAGGAGTTTAGGGTTTAGGGTTTAGAGTTTAGGGTTTAAAGTCAGGGTTTAGGGTTTAGGGTTTAGGGTTTAGGGTTTATAGGGTTTATAGGGTTTATAGGGTTTATAGGGTTTATCGGGTTTATAGGGTTTGTAGGGTTTAGGGTTTAGGTTTAAGCCCATGAAGGCCTCAAGCAATTCTCAAAGCCCCCGAAACACCCTTTCTTAGGAGCCCTGAACTCCTTCAAGCCCTGAAAACCCCTCAACCCCCTCAGCCCCCTCAACCACCCCAAGCACCCCAAACCCCCCAAACTACCTAAACCCTTTAAACTCCCTGATCCCCCCTAAACCCTACACCCTAAACCCCCTAAACCCTAAACCACCCAACCCCACTAAACCCCAATCCACCCACCCCCCCCCCCCCCCCCCCCCCCCCCCCCCCCCCCCAAACCCTCAACCTCGTAAACCCCCTAACCCTAAACCTAAACCCTAAACCCTAAACCCTAAACCCTAAACCCTAAACCCTAAACCCTAAACCCTAAACCCTAAACCCTAAACCCTAAACCTAACCCTAAACCCTAAACCCTAAACCCTAAACCCTAAACCCTAAACCCTAAACCCTAAACCCTAAACCCTAAACCCTAAACCCTAAACCCTAAACCCTAAACCCAAACCCTAAACCCTAAACCCTGAACCCCCTAAACCCCCTCCCAGCTGCCAGGCCCATGCGGAACAACTGGATGCCCGGAAGCAGGAGGTTCAACTCCCAGAGACCCCTAACCCCTGGGTTGAGTTAGAGTTTGGGGTTTAGAGTTTGGGGTTTAGGGTTTAGGGTGTAGGGTTTAGGGTTTAGGGTTTAGGGTTAGGGTTTAGGCACGGTTTAGGGTTTAGGGTTTAGGGTTTAGGGTTTAGGGTGTAGGGTTTGGGGTTTAGGGTTTAGGGTTTAGGGTTTAGGGTTTAGGGTTTAGGGCAGCGAAACCACCGAAGCCTGAGCCTTCAACCAGCTAGCTTTCATTACACTCTGAACAGTGCAGGGCTTCAACAACTTGGGACGCAGCAGCTTCTTTTTCCACAAGAAAGCGCATGTTTTTTTATTTCTTGGACACACGATCCAGGAATCCAACAGACTAACGGAGGCCGAAGAGTCCGGAAGCGGCAGCTGCGCGCACTCCGAGGCCGCCATGACACCAGCTTTTTGGGTTTAGGGTTTAGGGTTTAGGGTTTTGGGTTTAGGGTTAGGGTTTAGCCCCAAACCCTAAAGCCCCAAACCCTAAGCCCTGAACCCTTTCAACCGTTTTGCTTGGTTGATGGGTCCAAGGTTACAGGGGACTTTGTTGCGGTTTTAGGGTTTAGGGTCTAGGGCTCCGGGGTTTGGGTTTAGGGTGTTTAGTTTAGGGTTTAGGGTTTAGGGTTTTGGGTTTTTGGTTTTGGGTTTTGGGTTTAGGGTTTAGGGTTTAGGGTGCCCCCTCCCCCAGCCCCCCTCCTCCAGCAGGCATGTGACCGTATAGTTCTTAGAGCCGACATCCGAAGCCATAAGCCCCAGCCCCCCGCCAAACTTAGGCCCTACAACCCTAAGCCCTAAACTCCTAAGCACCCAACCCACAAACCCTTCACAACCCTAAGCCCCTAAGCCCTTAACAGCCCCTAAACCTCTAAACTTTGGCCTTTGAACCCTTAAGATCCCCAAACCCTTTATCCATCAAACCTCCCAAACCCTGAAACCCCTAAACCTTAACCTTAAAACCCTAAACCCCTAAACCCCAACCTTAAACCCTAAACCCCTAAACCCCTAAACCCTAAACCCACAGGTCCTGAAGCAGCAACTTCCGGAACTCCGCCGGCAGATGCAAGAGGCGTTTGCCCCTCTTTCGGGTTTAGAGCTCTTGGGGATTCAGACCTCCCTGGCAAAAGAACAAACAAGAACCACGCTTAGACGTTTAGGCGTTGAGGTGGCATTCAAGCCCGAATGGATCTTGTTAACTAAGTGCATGCTACAGCCCACTCCACATAGCTTAACTCCGCCCACTCCTTTGCTTCGTTTCGTTCACCACTTTGATTTTTTAGAAGAGGAGAGGCCACAGGAATGAGCGAAGCGAGTGAAGGAAGAGGAGCAGCTGTGACTCTGCGGTGCGGCGCTCCCCCTTTGTCCCCGCTTTGCCGCGCCACTTCTTCCTTAGGTAGTCCGCACGTAGGGAGAAGGGTTTAGGTTCACAATATAGGGTTGAGGGTTTACAGAAGGCTTTTGGAAGGGTTTTTGTAGGGTGACAGGGTTTATAGGTTTAGGGTCGAAGGGGATTGGTTCATGGCTAGCGTGGTGAACCAGTTGGCCAAGCAGTTTCCGAGCGAATGCCAACATCACAGGTGTTGAAGTGCGAATGCCTAGAAGCAAAGCCTTCAATCCTCAATCCTCGTACTCTTGCTGGTAGCTAGCTGCAGTGGTCACGATCGCACTACCCCAAACCCTCTATCTACCCTGAGCCCTGAACCCTGCAGTTCCAAAACCCTATAGGCACACAACCTAAACCCTAAACGCTAAACGCTGAACCCTAAGCCCTAAGCCCTAAACCTTAAACCATGGACTCTAAAACCCGGACCCGCGATCAGGCGGCGGATACTCTGAGGGTAGACGGTCAGCTGACCCAGTGCCTTGGCCCAACATGTCGGTTTTGTTAGCCCGGACCACTTTCTTTGTGGAATGGCAGGGTTTTGCGTTGAGGTTGAGGGTTTCGGGTTCAAGGTTCAGGGGGTGTTTAGATTTTAAGGCTTGGTCCAGGGTTCCGCATAGGCCGGTTTAATTAGGGGTTAGGGTTCAGGGTTTTAGGGTTCCAGGGTTTTAGGGTTTTTAGGGTTCAGGGTGTTAGGTTTTAGGGTTCTAGGGTTTTAGGGTTTTGGGTTTTAGGGTTTATAGGGTTTAGCTTACCTGAGAAGCCATGGGTAGAGCCTGGGCTGGCAAGGACGCCGCTGATTTCGGGCAAGGCGGCCGCGCTTCTGCAGCTGCTTGAGACCCTCTTCCTGGGCAAGGAGATGACTTGGGGTTTAGGGTTTAGGGTTTAGGGGTTTGGGGTTAGGGTTTAGGGTTGAGCTAGTGTTTAGTTAGGGTGTAGGCCGGGTCTAGCGTTTAGGGTTGAGTTTAGGGATAGGGCTTAGAGGGGCAGTAGTAATGCATCTGCTGTGAAGGTTGTCATTTCTTTAGCTACTTTGGGGGTTTAGGGTCTAGGGTCTTGAGTTTAGGGTTTAGGGTTATGGCAACTTAGTGCCTTGACACCAAGCAACCTTCAGAATCCTAAGCCTCCAGCCCTTACTACTACCCGACTTCAACTCACAGCCTCACCTCCCAGAAGGGAAGGACCTGGTATCCTCTGAGACTTTATAAGAGGGCTTGGGGCTTGGTATACATGAGGGTTTCTTGTAGCTTCTGGGCCTTTTGGAGTCTCTATGATAGCATATCTGTCCTGTGACTTGGTGGTGCCTGGCTTCTGGAACATGAGCCTGATGAACCCCAATCACTGGCAAGCTACATGGACCTTGGCAAATATGGAGCCTGAACCCTTTCCAGATTCACTTAGTCCCTTAGCCCTCAGCCCTAAACCCCAAACCCTCAACCCTAAACCCCAAACCCTAAACCCTAAACCCTAAACCCCAAACCCTAAACCCTAAACCCTAAAAAAGCTCGGGAGGATGGCAAGGGCGACTTCCGGGGGATCGTGTTCGTCACACAGGTGGCGCTGACCATGCCCCTGGCGCACCTGTGCCGTGTCTTTGAACTGAGGGTCCTTTGGGGTTTAGGGTTTAGGGTTTAGGGTTAGGGGATTTCCGGGGTTTGGGTTTGAAGGGCTTACAGGGTTTGTAGGGCTTATGGCAAGGTTTGCAGGGTTTAGAGGGCTTGGAGGGTTAGAGGGTTTGCAGTGTTTTGAGGCTTTTGAGCTTATGTAAAGGGCTTATAGGGATTGTACGCCCACTAGGTGTTATGGTTTCTTTTTTCGGGCTTACAGGCCTTAGAGTGGTCCCCGGGTCCTAATGGGGGCTGGGGCTATGGGGTCTTCTAGGGCTTTAGGTTTATGGGGCTCCGGTGTCTCTATAGGAAGTTTCGGCTTAAAGCCTGGAACTCTAAGCCCTAACCCTAAACCCTAAACCCTAAACCCTAAACCCTAAACCTTTTTAGGTTTAGGGGGGTCAGGCTCGACACCCGAAACCCCGAAGTGTAAGGGGCCGCAGCGAGGGGCTTGGGGTTTAGGGTTTAGGGTTTAAGGGTTTAGAGTTTAGGGTTTAGGATTTGGGGTTTAGGGTGTAGGGTTTAGGGTTTAGGGTTTAGGTCTACAGGGTTTAGGGTCTAGGGCAAACTCCTAAACGCAAGAGGCCCCGCACCTGACCTCATGAGCATCGCCCAACTCACGAAGCAACCTAACCCTTGTCCCAAACCTCAGCCCCGAGCCCCAAACCCTAAACCCCAATCCTTATAACCCCTATAAACCCTATAAACCCTAAAACCCCAAAACCCTAATGCCACACCGCAAGCATCGAAGGGCCCTTGGCTTCACTTTCAGGTTGACGGAGCATTTCGGAAAGAACCGTGCTGCCCCTTGACGCCCTGAGGCGGTGCCGAAGGTTTGGGGTTTAGGGTTTGGGGCTTAGAGTTTGGGGTTTGGGGTTTAAGGTTTGGGTTTAAGGCAGCTTAAGGTTTGGGGGTTAGGGTGCCTCAGGGTTGAGGCTCCCTGAACCCGAAGCCCTACACCTTAAACTTCAAGCTTCAAACCCTAAACCCTGAACCCTATGGACTCTCAACCCTATAGACCCTAGACCCTATACACCCTAAGGTTTTTTCGGGACCCGGGAGAGGGGGGGCACCCGTGTCAACCCTCCGGCGCGGGGGGGGGGGGGGGGGGGGACCGAGGGGGACCGAGGGGGACAGAGGGCCTGATCGAAATTCTGGGGCACTCTTTTGAGGCTCCTTCGGCCTCCAGTTACTATGCATTGCTTGAGAACCACCCAAAAAATGAAGACAATAGTTCCATAGTACCTGATCAGGAAGGATATGATTTTTTGCGGTGTTATTCAGCAAGTAGCAGTTTCACGAGACGCAGAATGTGTTTAGGGTTCAGGGTTTTTAGTCCTTGGTTAGATCAAGCTCCCCCTTTTGCGGCCTTCCGACTTGGGTGCGAGGTGTTGGTGAAGTGGTTTTGCGGTTTGGGGTTTGGGGCTTAGGGTTTATTGTTTCTTTATGTATTGTTCATTTTTCTTATTATATTTTGTTTTTGCAAGGTGTGTTCATTCCACAGAATTCCAGGGTTTAGGGTTTTGGGTTTAGGGCTTCAGGTCTTAGTGTTTAGTGTCTGGGGTTTAGGGCGCCCCGAGGTTGTGCGGGGCGGGGCCGTCTCCGGCACGCAGTCCATGGCAGACAGCAAGAGAAACCAGGAGATGGAAAGGCAGATGGGGCTGGATCTGCTTTCTTTGGGCATCTGGGGTTTAGGGGTTCTTAGGTTTGGGATTTAGGGGATTTAGGGTTTGGGGTCTAGGGGGTTCGGGGATTTTGGGATTTTGGGGGGAGGGGGGCGGGGGGGGGGGCGGTGGTTCTGGGGGCCGAAGCCCTGCAAGGTTTGGGGTTTTGGGGTTTTGGGTTGGGTTTTGGGGCCTGGTTTGGTGTTGAAGCTTCAGAGCTTCAATATGTTTAATCGCCCCCGAATACTAAACCCCACCCTAATTTTAAATATCATTCTGCCCGGACCCTCCCGGCGCCCAGCCCTGCTAGAGAGGGGGGGGGGGGGGGTTGACAGCCTCCGCCCTTGAGTGAGCCATCAGGGTTTCAGGGTTTGGGGCTGAAGGCTCAGTTTTGGGGGTTTATTTAGGCTTAGGATTTCAGGTTTTAGGGTTTAGCCCCCCCCCCCCCCCCCCTAATTTTGAATATTTTCCGGCCGAGGCGAATTTTAGGATTCGGGGTGGGGGGGGGGGGAGGGGAAGGGATGAATGCTTGAGAGGATTTGTGGCCGAAGCTCTCGTACAAGTCATTGTGTAAGGGTCATGGGACTTCGGCCCCCAATGTCTTTTGAATTCATCACTGTTCCGTTTCTATGTGGCGACCGTACTAAGTCCGGAACCCTAAAACCTGAAACCTTTAGGGCCAAAACTTAAAGCGGTTTAGGGGTTTAGGGATTCAGGGGTTTAGGGGTTTAGGAGTTTAGAGGTTTAGGGGTTTAGGGTTGCAGCCTTTCAAAAGCCACCCCGCGCAGGTTCCGCAAAGGGGAGCTCAACGTGCTGATTTGCACCAACGCGTTGGAGGAGCACTTTGCTTTCAGAGCCTGAGCCCCGCTGAATCCCGCAACCCCTAGGCCGTAAAACCCGGCTTAGGAGGGTTTAGGATTCTTGGGGGTTGGGTTTAGGGTTTTACCCCCAAACCCGAAATCCGAAGTCGTTAGAACCTGAAACCTCCTCCTCCTCCGCCTCATGATGATCTCTTCCCCAGAATCAGCCATCTCTTGAAAGGTTTAGACATCACGTGAAGTAAGGGAATCAATCTGGAGCTTGTTTTCTCTCTCTCACTTTTCCCGCTCCATTTCTATGTCAATGGAACTCTATATATGCATACACAGACATACATGTTTATGTATGTACGTACGTATGTAAGCAAGCAAGTAAGTAAGTGCATGTATGCATGCATGTATGCATGCATGCATGTATGCATGTGTATGCACGCGAGTTCGATGACATTCTTCTTCGTTTTCCGGTCATCAGTCGTCGCCTTATTCTTCGGGGGAGGTGGACCGGAGGCTGGTTGCGGGGCTTACATTGGGCGGTCTGTTCTCAGGGTGCCAGCATCAAACCCTAAACCCTAAACCCTAAACCCTAAACCCTAAACCCTAAACCCTAAACCCAGGAGGGGGTGGATGTGTCTGACTGTGCCTTTGTTATCCGCTTCAACCGCTCCGGCCTTAGCACGGAGGGCGGGGCTCATGGGTTTAGGGTTTAGGGTTTAGGGCTTAGGGTTTAGGGTTTAGGGTTTAGGGTTTAGGGCTATTATTCATTTGTTTCATGGGATTTAACCTTGGGCCCCTCAGGTTGTACCCTTGGGTTTGGGGACCCTCTTTCAAACTTCCTGTAAGGGAATAGAAGGGCCAAATTTTTGGAGTAGTTCAAGGGAACCTCTTCGGATTACGTCCTTGGGGGTCCAAGCTTCACTCCCTTCAGGGGCTCTGAGATATCAATGGGCTGTGATTCGGGTTTAGGCTTAGGCTCGAAGGGCTTAGTATGCGGGTCGGAATAATTACTATTGATATTTCCTTATGGTCCCTCCATAATTTTGCTGGAAAAATCCCCAAAACCCTATTCTAATCATTTAGGTGCCTATGTTGCGTTTGGGGGCTGACAGGGGTTGTAGGGCGTGGGCTTTGGGCTTCTGGAGACTGAGGGTGTTCCAGATCTGCGCAGTGAAAGAAAGGACTTTTCTATCGGCTTTTTTTCATCGTTCATCTTGCCAAAAAGCTTATATCAATTGAAGCGTTGCCGAAAACACCGTTCGAAACCCCGCCTTCCCCCTTCCCTCCCCCCAAATGGTTACTTGCCGAACCATCTGTTACTTATTCGAGCCAGGCCCTCCAGCCCCCGAAGTTCATGTTGGCTTTAGGGTTTAGGGTTTAGGGTTTAGGGTTTAGGGCCCTCTCAAGAAGGGCTGAGACACCTTGTGGCACCTTGTTGAAAAATCCATAGGACTGGTTGGCAATGAGTTCGCACCCCCCCAAAACCCTCAAAGTGTAGGGTTTCTAGGGTTTGACCCCCCCCCCCCCCCGCCCCCAACCCCAAGCACCCCAAACTAAATCCCCCAAAGCCCGCCCAAGCCACCTCAAAAACACTAAGACACTAACCCCCTTCCCCCATAAACCCTAAACACTAAACCCTAAACCCTAAACCCTCTCAAGGATTCGACACTACGTGCCTTCGTCTGCATTTTCAGCCTGGGGTTGGGGCGTGATGGGGTTTGCGGCTTAGGGTTCAGGTTCAGGATTTTGGGCTCCTGATCGCCCCCTAGACTTAGACAGTGCTGGGTGTGGGGATGGAATTTTTGCTGAACACTGCAAAAGCGAACTCCACCAAGAAACTAGCAGGTAATCAGTTTGGTGTCCGTAGCGTCTAGGGTGCCATGTGCTGCTGAAGTAGAGCCCTGGTCGGTCCCCGGCTGAGTGTCCTTGGGCCCTCAATGGGGCCCTAGCAAGCGTTTAGGGTATAGGGATTACGATGTTGGCTGTTTGGGGTCTAGGGTTTGGGGTTTCATCAAGATGTGCTGACTTCCTGTTGCTTTCTCTGACCCACGAAAAGGGCTCCACTTGTCCAGCCATGCGCCAGCGTGTAGAAGACTGCAAAGTTTTTCAAGCGTTCAACCCCTCAGTCCTAAACTCTGAACACTAAGCCCTAAACCCTACACCCTAAACATCCCTAAACCCTAAGGTGAATATATTCTATTCTCACATTGCAGATACCTGTATGGGCCTGCACTGGGGCAGCTATCCTGCCGCCTTTACTGGTTGCTGAGTATGGCTTAGTTGATTCAGGTCCCACGGGCTACTCTTTGCTGAAGAAACCCATCCCCAATCCCCATAAACCAGGGTTTTTAGGGAAAGAACATCCATCAGACCCCAAAGCCTAAACCCTAAACCCTAAGAATCCCAAAAAGAAACCAAACCCTAAACCCTGGAAAATCCTAAACCCTAAAAAACCCCTAAACCCTAAACCCCTGCCCCCCCCCCCCCCCCAAAAAAAAAAAAAAAAACAAAACAAAAAAACAATGCAGAGAAGCGCAGGAAGAGCCACATACAGGGAGCCGGCCGCGCGCGTCGCGGCGACGCGAAGATCTTTTACTTCGACAACGACCCGCATGAGGTCCCGGGTTTTGGACTCTGAACCCTAAACCCTGTAAACCCTATAAACCCTATAAACCCTAAAAACCCTATAAACCCTATAAACCCTATAAACCCTATAAACCCTACAAACCCTAAAAACCCCAAAAACCCTAAACAACCCTATAAACCCTAAAAACCCTATAAACCCTATAAACCCTAATAACCCTAATAACCCTAAACCCTGTAACCTAAACCCACCTGGGCAGGAGGAAGGGCGAGCCAAGCTGCTGTCGGAGGTGGCCAAGGAGCCCCACATGTGGTTGAGGGTGCAGGGCTTAGGGTTAAGGGTTTAGGGTTTAGGGTTTAGGGCTTAGGGTTTAGGGTTTAGGGTTTTCAGGATTTTTAGGGTTTAGGGTTTAGGGTTTAGGGTTTTGGGTTTTGGGTTTTGGGTTTAGAGGGTTTAGGTTTATGGGTTTAGGGCTTCGGGTTCCTTTTAAGACCCCCCAATGCAAGCCCACCCAAAGTCCCTTTAGGGTTTGGGGGCTTGCGGTTTAACAGTTTAACCCCCAACAAAAGGACGAAACGCCCCTGTATAGGACGACACGCTGCGGTTGACAGAAGCGGAGCGCGCGGAACGGCGCCTGGACGCCACGTTGGCCGTGCCAGGAGTCTCGGGCGAAGTTATCCTGGGCTTCGGAGTACTATGCTTCAATACTATTTTTGTTGGCTCTGTGTTCCTTCTTTAGCTACTTATGCCGAAAAAGTGACTACTTTTTTCTTCCAGGGTCTACTCCAAAGTAGGGTATCGCTTTGAAGGGTTGTGATAAGTGTGGGGTAATGTTCTATCCTGTTTTGTGCGGGCTCCGTGATTAAAGTCAATTTGCCTGGGTTATTCAGGACACCCTGACTGGTTGGGGGTGCAGACCAGGTCCCTCTTTAAAGTCAAACCGACCGGGCGCCGTAAGAAAATTCCACGCGTCGCGCCTTTAAAACCAATTGCCGGGCATCGCTGCCCTTCTAAACCTCCCCATTAAAATCATATAAACCCGCGGGAGCGTTGAAACAGGAGCAAATCCAGCCTCGACTGTGAGGGGGCACACTAAAGAGGGTAGAACATTATACTGATGATAAGGGGATCCCATTATTTGGCTCAGCCTACTCAAGCCCTTCTGGAGTCTCCGTCACTCAAACCTCCGTCACTCAAACCTCATCTGAATCTTCCTTGAGCCTGAAACGCTCAACCCAAAACCCTAAACCCTATAGTTCTACGCCTAACACCTAAACCCTAAACCCTAAACCCCCAGAAAAATCCCTAAGCCCTAGCACCTTTCAACACCTGAGAGCGCTACCAGACATAGCAGGAGTCTACCCATTCTACCCTCCTGGTGATGCCAAAAGTGAGGCCGGACATGGGGGTTTAGGGTTTCCGGGGTTTAGGGGGTTTAGGGTTTAGGGTTTCTAGGGTTTAGAGCTTCTGGGGTTTAGGGTTTAGGGTTTAGGGTTTGGGGTTTAGGGTTTTAAGGGTTTAGGGTTTAGAGTTTCTAGGGTTTGGGGTTTTGGGTTTAGGCTTTAGGGTTTGGGGTTTAGGGTTTCGGAGGTTGCCCTCGGAGCTGTCTCTGCCCTCCAAAACCTGCAGGAATCACGCCCACGGGGATCATGAACCACCCAACCGAAGTCAGGGCGCTAGTGCTTGGGTTTAGGGTTTAGGGTTTAGGGTTTAGGGTTTAGGGTTTAGGGTTTAGGGTGCAGGGTGCAGGGTTCAGGGTTTCAGCCGGCAAGTTGCAAATTGTACCGCATGCCGCTGCTCACGTAAAAGAGTCCTGCTGATTCAGCACTATCCCGTGCTCTTTCGCTTCCCGAGATCCCTAAACCCTAAACCCTAAACCCTAAGCCCTAAACCCTAAACCCTAAACCCTAAACCCTCCACCCATAGTTTTCTGCTCCACACCCGACAAAGCAGGCACCTTTTCATGAAGCCTAAACCCTGCAAGCCCGAAACCTTGAACCTACCTAAAGAACCCAAAGCCTACTTTTTGTTGTAGGTCATTCCGATAAACCCCTTATAGGACCCTAAACCCTAAACCCTAAACCCTAAACCCTAAACCCGGTTTAAACCCTAAACCCTAAACCATACAGAAAGACGTAGGCTTTGGGTTCTTAAGGTCAATGTCTGAGCCCTATATACCAAAGGTTCTGAGAAAACCGAAGCCTGGAACTCTAAACGCCAAGCAACCGCTTTAAGTAGTAGGGTTTAGGGTGTAGGGTGTAGGGTTTAGGGTTTAGGCTTTAGGGACCCCAAGCCTTGCTCAAAGGTGAACCTGTACAACTGCCTACAGATGGTGCTACCTGGCTGCCTTCACACCCTGGGCCCGAACTCCTAAACCTTGCAAATCCTATACTGTATACCGCTACCCGACTCGGGAACCCATCCCTTGGCCCTGAACCCTAAGCCCTGAAGCCTAAACCCCTACACCTAGGCCTTGCGGGGTTGGTTTGGGAGAGCCCGCTGTCTACGTTTCGTTGGTATGTGTCGTGGGGTCTGTGCCCAGTTCAGGATTACGAGAGTGCGTGAGGCATGTTTCTGAAGCCCCACAGCCCCGAACTGCCAGAAATTCGTTTCGGGTTCAGGGTTTAGGGTTCTACCCTAACCCCTAAACCCTAAACCCCAAACCCGAAACCCTAAACCCTAAACCCTAAACTCAACCCCCAGGGCTCCTCTTACATTAGTCAAGCAAGGTACGAGTATTGCGCGAAGACGATGGGCCAGTCTTTCAATCCGGAAGATCTGTTTACCTACGATGAGACTGCCACTTGGTTCTTGTGTTTATTGCTGGGGGTTGAGGGGTTCGGGTGTAGGGTTTAGGGTCCATGGATTAGCCTATTGGGTTCAGGGGTTTAGGGTTTTAGGGTTGCAGGGTTTAAGGGTTGTAGGGTTTGAGGGTTTTAGGGCCTGTAGGGTTTAGGCTTTCTTGGCCTTCTGTGGTTTCTTTTTGGAGAGCGCTTTGTTGGAAGCAGAAGTCAGATCTGAATGCGCTGGCAAGGTGATCTCCGTGTACCCGCGGCAGGTGAGGAAGTTCATCACGGAGGTGAAGTACCCATCCCCGGAGGGCTTCTTACTGGCTCAAAACCCAACTTTTCAACTTTTGGGCTTCTTCTAAGGTAGTTACCCAACTTCTCAACTTTGGGGCTTCTTCTAAGGTAGTTTATTAAAAGTTTCAACCTCCAATTTTTTGGGTTTTGGGCCAGCAAGGCTTTCTGAAGGTGACCCTGCCGCAAGTGAATACCCGCTGGGGAGACACCAAGCTGGAAAGCGTTTTGGATCCGAATCGCAGCAAGAACCTGGGCAGCCCCAGTGGTACCCTTTTTCCCTTTTTTTGGGTTCAAGGTTCCCTTATAAATTAACCAACACAAAAAAGGTGCCCTTATTGAAATGCGTATGGTTGCTGGGGGTACCAAGGAACATGAAGCAGGAGGACAAGGACAAGCGGCGGTTTCTGTATGTCGTCGCGATCGAGATGCACGAGAAAGGGCTTCTGGATGGTGCCTTGACTTCTCGCTGGGAGAAAGACTCGCCAACTCCTAGGTAGGATAAGGGGGACCCTTAAAAGGGAGCCCCTTCTTAGCCCTCTTCTGTTTCTCTTAAACAGGGACCTTATTCAGAGGGTCTATATCCTCAAGGGTCCCCCTAATCCTATCCCCTACCAAGGCAGCAGGAAGATGCTAAGTCACCTTTTGCTACATCAGGGGTACCCAGTTTGTTTTGGGAAAATACCCCTAAACCCCAAGCCCGAAACCCTAAACCCCATAGACCCGACACCCTAAACCCTACACCTATCTTCGCTCTAAGCGCGCCAAGGTAACAACCAGCCTTCCGGCAGGGCTCTCCATGGCAACAAGCTGGCCTGCGAAGCTTTTGTCATGAGCCCTGGACTGAGGCGCAGAAGCAACTCGAACCCTGCACCATAAAACCCTAAAGCTGTTCAGTCGAATGAGACAAACTCAGACGACTTGGTCAGGGTCCAAACCTAAACTTTTCATCTGCAAAAGCCAACTTAACTCTAAGCCCTGAACCCTGTAAACACTAAACCCTGGCCCTCAGGCTAAGCACCGCCAGCTATGCCAAGGCAGTTCCCGCCAGGGGCCAAGAAGCAGGGGCTCAGGGGCTTCACAGGGCTCAAGCGGGGTTTCGGGTTTTGGGATTCAGGGGTTAAACTTTCTAAGGCTAGTTACTTGGTCCCCTGAATATGGTCCTTTGCCTCCTTTAGAGGGTTCTGTCACTGCACTAATTCTCTAATTGCGTTCATTAGTGCGTTCATTATGTTCATGCGTCTTTTAATATTAAATTACACGCGCTTGCACTTGCCATTTAATATTAATATTAAGACGCATGAATTAAATGACCGCCAAGAACCCAACATAGAAACCGTACCATCATGAGTCTTTCTACGTGACAGGACCCTTCATTCTGGACCTTTCTTGAGAGCGCCCCACCTGTCAGTCTTGCCCATGAATCTACTGTCTTGGTACCATCATTAATAGTGTAACCGTGTGAGCGAAGTGAAAGAAATAAAAGACAAGGAGTGAAGAATGAACGAACGTGGTTTTTTTCGTGAACGGCGTCAACACCCCACGCATGTTTTTTTCGTGAACGGCGTCAACACCCCAAAAGACCCCCAAATTTAGGTATTTTAAGGGGGTTTTCGTGCACTCACTTGTTCACTTACAAACCCCCCATAAAATATACTAAATTTAGGTCTTTTGCCCACAGTTGTTGATGGTTGACTTCACGCTCAGTATGGGCCCCTAGGTGTTATAGGGAAACAAGGTAGATAAGGGGTTCCCTTTGAGGGGCCTAGGGGACCATGCACCTACCCCAAGAAACCTTATGTTCAAGGGTTTGGTGTTACCTGAACCCTCAACCCGACACCCCTAAATCCCTAAACCCTAAACCCTAAACCCTAAACCCTAAACCCTAAACCCTAAACCCTAAACTCCAACCCCCACAGGGCATGTTTGCTTTCTTAAGGCGGCCCCTGCGGCCCCAGCGGCCCCGACGACTCCCGTGGCCCCTGCGGCCTCTGCGGCCCCTGCGGTGGCGGCAAGTACGACAGCGGCCTCGGTGGCCCGCCATGGTCTTCAGAAGAGGGTTTGGGGTTTAGGGTTTAGGGTTTAGGGTCTGGGGTTTAGGGTTTAGGGTTTAGGGTCTGGGGTTTAGGGTTTAGGGTTTGGGGTTTAGGGTTTAGTTTAGGGTTTGTGGGTTCCCCCACTTGGATGTAAGACGGCCTTGTCTAGGTCTAGTTTGTCGAGGGGACCTGGGAGTGCCCTGATTCACTGGATTAGGATTGAGTTCTTTAGGGTTTGGGGTTTAGGGTTTAGGGTTTAGGGTTTAGGGTTTAGGGTTTAGGGTTTAGGGTTTTAAGAACCCGATCAAGCAAAAGGATGCACCCTGCAACCTAGCATTGTCTTCTTCCGAGCCCGAAGATGCTTCAGAGCCCGAAGAGGGTTTCAAGTGGGCTTGTCTTGGGGCCTCCTACCTAAAGCCTTGCACCGTCAACCCTCGCCCTCACCTGAAGGCTTCGGGGTTGAGCGTTAAGGGTGTGAGGTTCTTCAACCAAGCCCTCAGGTACACCAAAGCAATAGAACTACCATCGGGGCTCTGGTGCTCGGATGCAGGGGCAAAGCCGAAACCCTAAGCCCTAGCCCTAAACCCTAAGCCCGAAACCCGAAACCTTGGACCCTAAACCCTGAACCCTAAGCCCTAAGCCCTAAGCCCTAAACCCTAAACCCTAAACCCTAGCCTAAGTTTCTTGCCACGCCCAGCAAAAACAACCAAAGTATCGGAGAGCTGAGGCATCTCGGCCTGCGACAGCCGAGGAACTGCGCCTTGGGGAAATTCGGAAATGAACCCTCTGAAGTGATTAGGGTTTAGGGTTTAGGGTTTAGGGTTTAGGGTTTAGGGTATATGGTATAGGGTTTAGGGTTTAGTGGGTAGGGTTAGGGTATAGGATTTAGGGTTTAGGGTTTGTATATATTTTAAGGTTTAGGGTTCGGGTTTAGGGTATATGGTATAGGGTTTAGGGTTTAGTGGGTAGGGTTAGGGTATAGGGTATAGGGTATAGGGTTCAGGGTTTAGGGTTTGTGGTTTGTATACCCCAGAGCAGGATGTGTAGGTAGCACAAGGTATCTGACCCCATTTTTTTTAGCGCTCACTTGGGCCTAAACCCTAAACCCTAAACCCTAAACCCTAAACCCTAAACCCTAAACCCTAAACCCTAAACCCTAATGGGCCCCCAAGGTACAACGCCAAGGGCCAGCTGAACGAGTGGGTGCACAAGCAGTGGCTTCGCCCGCAAGCTGCCCTTGGCGTCGGTAGTTTCGGCGCACCAGGGATGCTGTTTTCGGGTTTGGGGTTTAGGGTTTGGGGCTTGGGGTTAGGGTTTAGGGTTTAGGGTTTAGGGTTTAGGGTTTAGGGTTTAGGGTTTAGGGTTTAGGGCTATCGGATCAGAGGTGGCGGCAGCCGGCGGAGCAGCTTCTGTCCTATGACAGCGACCCCACTCCGGACGGCTTCGTCGCGAAGGCTCTGAGGGGCTCAGGGTTTCGGTCTTAGGGTATTTTGGGTTTAGGGCTAAGCCTTGTTGAGGGTTCAGGGTTTAGGGTTTAGGGTTTAGAGTTTAGGGTTAGGGCTACAAGGTTTCGGGTTTAGGGCTAGAAGCCCTACACCCTTGATGTGCGGGGCTGGCACCTGCAACCACGGCCCAGACTTTGAGGGAACAGAAGGGTAGAAGCCCTGAAGCCCCCTACAGCGCCCCTAAAAGCCCTTGAACCCCAAAATGCCTTCCCACGCCCGCCCTAAACCCTAAACCCTAAACCCTAAACGCTAAACCCTAAACCCTAAACCCTAAACCCTAAACCCGGGAGGTGAGGCTGCTGAAGACCGGCCGAGAGTTTGTGGGCAGCGCCCACAAGAAGAAGGCCCCCGCCAAACCCCAGCTGGCTGGTTCTTAGTAGGGAATGAGGGCATGAGGTACCCTATAAACCCTAAACCCTAAACCCTAAACCCTAAACCGATATCACCCCTTAAAGGGTATATGTAGGCCCCGAATTCCCTCATTCCCTACTAGCACCAGGGGGCCCAACCTGAAGGCCCATCCTTCAGTCTCTCGTCCATTTTTGAGGGCTTTTGGTTCGGGGGTTTCGGGGTTTAGGGATTTGGGGGGTTAGGGGTTTAGGGGTTTAGGTTTGGGGCTTTAGGGGTTGAGGAGTTTAGGGGTTTAAGGTTCTAGGGTTTATTGTTTGGATCATCGGGGTTTTGGGCTTCGGCATTTTCGGGGGAGCTCTCAGTTCCAGTAGATATACAAACATCCAGCGGTTCAGGGTTTTGGTTTGAATCCGCATGCTGTTGTTCTGTTTTCGCACGGTTAGGGTTTTCAAACCCTAAACCCTAAGCCCTAAACCTAGTGTACGAAGCCTCGGAGGACGCTGAGCAGTCCGCAGCAGCTGCTGCATTGAAAGAGTTGTTGTGAGCTGCGGCAGTTCCGCTGCAAGTGATTTTGATGAAGGCAGGTGCTCATAGCTTCGGTGTCATAGGCGGTCCTTTAAACGCGGCAGCGTGTCAAGGTTGGATGTCCTGTTTTGTTCGCTTATCATTTGCATGAAGGCAGGGGCGCGAGATGTTTGGGGCTAGTTTGGTGTGCCTACTTTATTTGTGAGGGTGCTTCACCTAGGGTTGGCGGTTGCAATCAACAAAGTCGGCTGCTATCCCTGACCCCGAAACTCGAAACCCAAAAATCCGAAACCCCAAGCCCTAAAGCATAGCTTTCTCCGAGCAGTTGTGCGCAGATTTAGTTTGGGATCTGGGGCCGGAGCAGCTCTTGCTTCGCCCCCAGATTTCTTGCAGACCTCGACACAGCTGGCGGAGAAAGCGGGAATTCCGGGTGTAACTAGGGGTATAGGAGTTTAGGGGTTTGGGGTTTTGGGGTTTAGGGTTTAGGGTTTTGGGGGTCTCGGAGTTCAGGGTGTAGAGGTTAAGGGCGTGTAGAGTTTGCGGTTTTGGGGTTTCGGAGTTTTGGGTTCAGGAGGCTTAAGGCCCAGGCTTTGCCAATGTCGCGGGGTTTCTTTATCGGTTTTTAAGAGCTCTGACGGAGCGACCTCCTAGCCCCCAAAAAAACTGACCCTGCAAGATCATAAGCCCCGCAAGACGTGTAAGTCGCAAGCCCGAAACCTTACCGAAACCCCTAAGCCCTAAACTCGAAACCCAAAAACCCTAAACCCTAAACCCTAAGCCCTAAACTCGAAGCCCAAAAACCCTGAACCCTACAGCCTCAACCCCATTTTCTAGGGTTCTTCAGGATTTGGGAGAACTCCGCGCCCGAACATGCGACCTGTCTTAAGCTGCACTGTCCCGAACACCTTGATGCTCTCTCAATTCATCGCTACTCAAATTTAGGGTTTAGGATTTAGGGGTTGTGGATTTGGGTTCTCGTGTTTAGGATTTAGGGTTTATCCCTACCCAAGGCTCAAATGTAGCTCCACTTGGGTTTTTTCTTACAAGGGGTGTCTTTACGGTGGCCCACCCTGAAAAAAGAGTTGCCTGTGTGTTGGGGACTAGGACGCCTCTGTGCGGAAGACCGCGACCCGCGCCCTGCAACGCGTCGCAGGCGGGAATCTAAGAGAGGAGTTTCAGGGTTTAGGCGGTTTAGGGTTTGAGTTAAGGGGTTTAGGCTTGCTAGGGTCATCTCCCACATGGGGTTTAGGGTTGCTAGGGTCATCTCCCACATCAAGTCTCCGCCGACTTCAGCGTGGGTTTTACATTCTAGGGTTTGAAGGGTTTTCTATTCTCTGTTGTCCTTGTTTTGGGTGGTGCCCCCCCCCCCCCCCCCCGTAGGTTTGGTTTCGGATCTTCTGGTTGTTGCATGGACCTACTGAAAAGCTCAGGCAAAGATTGGCCCTCGTGCCCCCCCCCCCCCCCCCCCCCAAACGTGGCTTACCGTGAACCAAACCTCACAACCATGAATCCCTATTCCCTTGTGATGTTTGTTGGGAGCTACCTTTTAACAGGATGCCCAGCCGCCCTAAACCCCAAACCCTAAACCCGCAACCCGAAGGTGGAGGAGAGAGGCTGTTAAACTTCGTCCTTGCAAGGGTTTAGGGTGTAGGGTTGAGGGTAGTAGGGGTCCTGTGATATAATCCTGAACCCAAAACGGGTGGGTTTCAAGGGTGCGCTGGCAGGGAAAGGCTGCAAAGCAGCGGTCGAGGTGCTGATACCCCTGATGCAGGACCTGACGAAGTCGGACTCGGTCGTACGGGTGCAAGGGCTTAGGGTTTGCCCTAAACCCTAAACCCTAAACCCTAAACCCTAAACCCTAAACCCTAAACCCTAAACCCTAAACCCTAAACCCTAAACCCTAAACCCTAAACCCTAGACCCTAATCAAACCCTAAACCTAAAACCCCTAGGCTTTGGGGGGTTGAGGGTGGTCGCTTGGTTCTCGTTCTGGTTTTGTGTGGTTTGGGGCTTAGGGTTTTCAGGGCAAGGGCTGCGGGTCTGCTTTAGAGAGCTGGGCGGCCGGTAGGTTGGGAAGTCTAAGAATAAGAAGGTTAGGACGGCTAGGCACTTTGTGGCCCAAACTTTTGTGCTTGAGGCTGTTCACCGCGTGATTGTTGATACAAACGGGCCAAGCTCAACAGCGATCTTCAAGCAGTGCGGCGGGAGGGGGCCGGGGCCCTCGCGGGCTGTCCCTGAACCCCTTGCTACCAAAACGCCGGGAGCGATTACGCCAACTATATGCTCTGCAACTCGCAACCCCAAAACCCCCTAAACCCTACATAAAGGACGGTTGTGGCGTGCTTCAAAACAGCCACCCTTTCCGAAGTCCATAAGTCGCGAAACCCTGATAAACCCCAACCCTTATAAAACCATGATCGAGCCCTGTAGATACCCTACTAAACCCGTATAAACCCTCATAAACCCTAAGCCCTAAGCCCTAAACCCTAAACCCTAAACCCTACAGATGCCCTACCTCTTCGGGATTTGGGGTGCCAGGACGAGGTTGTCGACGTTCGCCTTGCGGCGGTCGAGAGCGCTGGCCTGAGTCTGCACCAGGGGTGGGGGTGTAGGGTTTAGGGTTTAGGGTTTAGGGTTTAGGGTTTAGGGTTTAGGGTTTAGGGTTTAGGGCGTTTAGGATCCACTCAGCCAGTAATTTCCACCGAGCCGACTCTCGACCCTTTAGGACTTCCGATGTTGGGTCTGGGCCAGCCCATAGAGCTGTCGTAGCCGAAGCTGATGGCGTGTTTCGGGAAAGCGACTCCTGGGGGCAGTTTTTTCCGAAGCTTTCGGCTCGAAATTTGACCCTGGGTGCCGTGCGAGGTTCGGGGTGGTCGGTTTTCTTGGGCACATCAACAGAAAACAGGTGGGATGCTCGCAGCAAATCTTGAGGGTGGAGGACCTTGCATCCCATGCAGCTCTTTCGCTCACGGGAGCCTCTTGCAAGGCCTGGCCATGGTGGCGCAGAAAGGCGACCCGCTCGCCATGCATGCGCTCACGGCGGGAAGCTGAGCAGGGTTTGGGGTTTGGGGTTTGGGGTTTGGGGTTTGGGGTTTGGGGTTTTGGGGTTTGGGGTTTGGGGTTTGGGGTTTGGGTCTGGGGTTTGGGGTTTGGGGTTTGGGGTTTGGGTTTGGGGTCTCGGCTTCATTAAGGTGTATAGGGGTTGCTGTGATATGGGGCAGAAGCCCCCCACCCCTGCCCCCCACCCCAGCCCCACCCCCCGCCCCCCACCCGCCCCACCCCCCCCGCTCCCCCCCCCACCCCCCGCCCGCCACCCCGCCAACCTCCCCGCCACCCGCCCTTTCCCGTGCCTTGGACGCTTTGTTTAGGTGGGCCACACGTGTTCTTGTGAAGTGCTGCAGGTCAGGCTCGAAGATCAGGAAGTGAGCAAGGACGCCAGGGTTTGGGGCTTCATGCGTTCTACGATGGCGTCAGGTTTGTTTTTGTCATAGGGGAGTACGTCATTTTTCCATTGCCCTAACCTCATGTTGTATGGACCTACCTACAGGTCAGGGCGGTTGAATCTGGAGCTCTGAAGCAGCAGGGTTAGGCGTGCCGTCATGCCTTCAGTGGGTTGAACGATTGAAGTCAGCAAAGGGGTGCTGGATTTTGGTGCTCAGGGTTTAGGGGAAGCCTTCAACTTCAAGTCCAATAAACCCTTAACCCGGAAGGTGCACAGGTTTCGGGGAGGCTTAGGGCTTATAGGGTTTATACAAGGGGGTGTGGGACAGGAAACCCTGTAAACCCTAAACCTTGCGCATGGGAGAGTCTCACAGAGTCTCACAGGCTAACTGTTGCTCGCTTCCCGATAAAAAAAACAGGATTAGCAAGAGCCCTACCCCCTGACCCGAACCACTAACCCCCCAACCTTAACCCCCAAGAGTTCGAGTCCTACAATATCAATTCTGCGGGTGAAAGGAAGCCCAAGACACCAAACAACAATGATGACCCAGGGTTGCAGGGTTTGGGGCTCAGGTTCTTAGGGTCGTAGGGCCTTCGGGCCTTAGGGTTCAGGGTTTCTGGGTTTTGGGAATAGGGTTTAGATTTCAGGACCCCGAACCCCTGAACTTTGAACCTACGGCTTCCAGATTCTTGAGACTTTCGACGGGTTAATGGGCCTTTAAGCCTTTCTTTCTTTCCCCCAAAACCCCCTAAGGTCCCTGAATTGGGTCTAGGGTCTCGGGTCTCGGGTCTCGGGTTTCGGGTTGCGGGTTTCGGGTTTCGGGTTTCGGGTTTCGGGTTTCGGTACCCAAGTAGACCCCGAACATCCTGAACAAACAAGAGATACCGCGAGACAAGTGAGATGGCTTCAGTATAGGGCTTAATTAGTGATGTTTTGGGTTTAGGGATGTTTCGGGTTTAGGGCTTAGGATTAGGGTTTTGGGTTTAGGGCGAAAGTTGAGGGCTTAGGGCATATTCGGCTTTAGATGGGGCTTATGGGAGTTTAGGGCCATCGGCTCCCCCAGGTAAACCCATACTGCGTTTATATTTCCCTTGGGTTCGTCCGATGTGATTCATGGAGTTGCTGTCAGGATTGCCCGAGAGGGCAAAGCCACTTGTCCTTTAAGGGGACATGGGGCGCATGGAGAGTGGACGGTTTGGACAGGTTGGTTCCATGGTGTGTTGAGTTTTCTCGTTGTCTGGGGGAGGGGGCCTAGAATGGCTTCGGATATCGTGTCTACACGAGAAGGTCGATGGGCGGTGTTTGGCAGAGAAGGCAGTCTGCATGCATGGCAAGCTCCATCGGTAGAAGCTAAAGGGCAATTTTTGTTCGAGGAGGGTAGGCCCCCTTATATACCAAAATAGAGTACAATCTTTGTAAGGACCCCTCCCCCAACATACCCTAAGCCCTAAACATTAACCCCAAGACACCATGTTTTTTTTGGGTCCCAGGTGTCGGAGTTCGCGCGGCGAAAGCCCTCAAGCGGCTGGCCACCCGCGAGGACTCCCTTGCTCGGACAGAGGTGCCTTTATTCTATAC